CATGGGCAACAGCTTGAGGACCATGACCTCGCGCGCTCACCTCAACTGAGAGATGTCCAAATCTTTCTGATAATCACATTCAGCCAGCATGCTGCTGGTAGATGACGCTGGCTGTCCCGTAGCTTCAGAGGCGTGGCTCTCATCGAAGCAGTTGGCCGAGCGGCCTTGCCGAGGCACCTGATGCTGCCTGTGTGCATTCTGCGTTGCTTTTATCGTAGAATGTTCTCGGTTGCCTTTTTTGCGGCCGGCCAGTGGCCTCACAAGCACGGGCAGATGTGTTGAACTGACTTGTACGCCCTGTCAGGTTAGACAACTTCTCTCCACAAGGCACAGGGCTAGAAGCGCAAAACGTGCAGAGAGTCAATTGCTTACCAGAATCTGGACAGGCCTCTCCAACATGGCCTGGGCGCTGGGCTGTACAAGCCTCTTCTCTACAGGTGTTCCGACATCTTGCCTCTGTTGATGCTTCCACTATGTGCAAGACTGGAACATCCTTGGCAGTGAGTGAACCCTGAAGGTTTGGGCGAGCAGCTCTTGCGAGGTATTGCTGGCGCCGCAGTGGCAGCTTCTGGCAGCTTCTCCCCGCCCCTTAACCCACTTAATTACTGTTCTCGCGGTCTAGTCCGCAAGGTCCATAACAGGGAGCAAAACGCAGGAGGATTTGTGGAGGATTTTAAACTTGAGTAGGCCGAGTACGCCGTCACTGCAAGGCAGGGCCTGGCTTTGCTCGCATGGGCCATGTCGCCGGAGAGCCGCATGCGCATGGATCCTGCGCCTGGGCTCACCATGGCTCTTTGTCACCTGAGCTTCTGCAGAACTTGGCTGCGAAGAAACCTGAGGTACCGTCTAGGCCAGCAGCTACCAAGCTGCAGCTGCTGGATGCAATCCAGCAAGAAGTGCAGGCCGCTTTCTGGGCTGTAAGTGGGAGCTGCTACAGTCTTAGAGTATATTAGAGTATTGTTGTATATTATAGTAGACTAGTACATTGTAAACTATAGTATATTATTGGGTCAAGCTTGGTTAGCTCTATAGACCCTGGGGATGCAGGCATTCAAGCTACGCGTTGGTAACGCTGCCAGGCCGGCCTTGCCCCCGAAGCTCAGACGACTGAGAATCGCCGCGCTCAAGTTTGAAGGCCTCTTAAAGACCACGTCACGCTGACAGACGTGTGCTGCGATTTCCCGAGTGCAAGGCACTGGGGGCAATGTGAAGGGAAAGAACTGTATATTTGGCACCTTCTTATGTACTTTGGCTTCCATGACCAGATAGAGGCATGCTGCCACGTTCAGGTGCTTGTAGTGCTGTTCTGGAGAGCAGCAGAGCTTGGACCTGCCCATCGACTCACATACCCAGGCCATCCCAGGTTAAGCGGCGGTGCAAGTGCCGCCGTGCCCCAAAAGCCAAAATCACGTTCGGCGGCTGCTGTTGAGACCTTTCCCGCGCAGATGAGAAAAGCAAATGCCGATTCACCAAGAGAAGGCCAGCCAGCAGCTGCCACTGCAGACCTATGGACCGCATGGTTAGGCCTGTGCGGGCCTGTGCAGTGTGCACCCTAGGGTCTGACCGAGGAGGTTATTGGAGGCGTTGATGCAGCAAGCTGGGGGCAAAGCCCCCCCTTGTGAAGGGATGGAAGAGAAGGGGACGTCCTGACACGTTGTTGCTGGTTGTGCTTGGTGTTGGAGGAGGTGCTCCATCCGTGGTCGTTGGAGGTCCTTGGGGGTCTGGACTTCTGCCAGAGGTTGCACCCCGGTGCCAGCATAGCATACTACAACGGCTGGAGCCACAGCTGATATCTTTCGAGCAGCCCTGAGCAACTGGCACAACTCGCAATGGAAAGAGGAGCGAGGAGGCCGGATGAGTCTTAAAGCCAGATGTCTGTAAACGATAGTTGGATGACGTCGGATGGCTCTTGTTCAGGCTCCAGGCAGCTACACCCTGCCGAGGCTCGCCTAGAGTCTGTTGCTCAGTGCTGATGTGTTAATGTTAATTGTTAATCCTCCAGCATATGCAACGACAATCAGACTGATATGCCCGTAACCCTCGTGACAGTAGTCACAGCACGATGCTTGTGCTTGAGTGTCCTGTGCCAGTGAGGCCTGTCACTTGGATAGCTTTGACTTGGCTGCCTGACAGCTGATGGTTTGCCATTTGCAAGAAATGTTCGTCCGAGCGTGCTCGAACCAAGGCAGTGGCCATTGTTTTGACCTGTGGGTCTCGTGCGTGCGTGCTTGCTTGCTTGCTTGCTTGCTTGCTGCCAAGTGTGTACTGCAGCTGCTTCTTTGCTCACAAGACGCCTGCAAGATGTGGAACAAGAACCTGAGCAAGACTAGAAAGTTGATCAAAACACGTGGTTTTATTGCAGCTCCAAGGTCCTGAGAGAACCACCATATACCACCATCCTTCTGGCAGGGTACAAAGAACTCAGAACAAAAACACTAGCAGACCTTCTGATTTTGCTTTTGAAGCAATGACGGGAGCTCCTGCTACTGCGGGTGAGGCCGCTGAGATAGGCTTTGCATCGGCAAGTTGTTGCGGAGTCATGTGCTTGTGGAATTTGTTAGCATCGTGAGTTTTCTAGAAAGAAGTAATCTCTCTCTCACGGCAGACTGCTCATGTTCTGATATGTTCTGCTCTCTCATGAAGACAGGCCCTGAGAAGCGGCAACTCATGTGTTCATGAATTTGCTATGATGCAGTAGACGAGAGCCAGCCTCAGAGGAAGGCTTCCAAGCAGCCTGGCAATCCAGGGCTACATCGCCGTGCCGCCCAAGGCTGTGGCCGAGGCAGACCAGCAGCGGCTGCTTGGTTGCAAAGGATGCCTCCCTGTGCTTTGTGCGGGGTTTTCTGATCAGAGATTTCGTCCAGAAATGCTCTTCATGAAGTTTGGGCTGAAATCGTTTGAGACGGGTGAAAAGTCTTGCATGGGACACTGAGAAAAGGCTCAGGCACACAGGAGTTCTATGAGCATCTTTTTGGACTTGGCTGCGCCTGCTTCCAAGTGCAGCCCAGGCTTGCTGCAGAAGTGGCCGCTTAGCTGCTGAAGGGACCAGCTTGGAGAGCAAGTGGTCATACTGAGTCATACTAGTTTGCCCCGTCACAAGAGGTTGGGACTGTGGGGTCAGTCCGGCTCTCTAACTCTAAGTTGCTTGAGCTGCTTCACTTACACCCTCCTTACATTTTGTCATGTCTGATAGCAGGGCGGCTAGCTACTAGCGTGAGAGCCTCGCAGTGTTGGACCTTGCTTCTGGACCTGGATCCCAGGTGTCAACCTGGAAATCCGAAGGCAACGTGCGTCTCACAGAGGCTGGCAGGGGATTTCTCCCGAGACTTGTCGGAGCAGGGCAAGGAGATGTCTCGAGTGGCTGAGTTGTAATTTGCGGGCTCCCACGCAGCATGCAGGGCGACGTCGCCGGCGCAATCGAGACTGGGTCTGGTCGATTTGGTAGGTTGATTTTTTTTTATCTATGCATGTCATGTTTTTTCGAGCCCATGTGAAAAATGTTGATACTCGATTCTACCTGTTTGACTGTACATGTGGTTTTGGGGGTTTGAGCATGGATCAAGCATGAAACCATCTAACTTTCCAGAAGGTTGCCAAATCTGTCACAACCCCACCAAGACAAGGCCTCGCAGAACAAGAGTTTTGATGCTTTGAACGCCAGGCACATATCTTAGGTGGACCCACCACCCAGTAGTAGTGACTGTAGGGGATGATAGTGGTAACTATATTTGGGTCCTCCTACATTCCTATTATACCACTATTACAGATCAGCAAGTCAGGAATGCTATTCTCGTGGCATCGAGGCTGCCAAGGCGCATCTCATCTCGCTTGTTAACCCACTACGTCTCGTAGCAGCTACCCCAAAAAGGGGAACCCAATATAGACCCCAAAATACTATGATCCTGATTATGGGAACCCACCCAAAAGGGTACTCCTAATTTTCAGAAACTCTTAGGGTCCACCGGAGGCTTCCGAGACCGCACAGCCAGTCTGAAGGGTGACATTTGCTGCGTCAACCTAAACATGGCAGGAAGCAGTATTCCCAATATTGTCAAAAACATTTTAAGTCTTACTGTTACTACTATTACTAGAATTATTAACCAAATTATACTATTACTATTGCTAATATTATTGCTATTACTAATAGCATGGCAGGAAGCAGGCGTGCAAGGCAAGCTCTTGAGCCAGCTGTACCTCAACCGTGCCCAGGCTGGAGCAAAATGACGGGACATGCGGCAAAAATTGCAGGAATTTGGGTAGAATGCATGCTAGCATCCACGGGCATTATGGACCTGAAAAGTCTCCTGCTATAGGCTATCTTGCTTTACCTTGCTCCATTGCAGCAACGTTGTCGCAGCCTCTGGAGAAAGCCAGTGCTCCATGATGGCCCAAGTTTGACTGCTAGAATGCAAACGTGCAAAGTATCAAAGTGACAGCATGTGAGCAGTCAGTGTTTGCGCTGAGTGTTCGGCTGCTGTCAGACATGCTGATTCGCAAGCACTAGCGGTCATTCGAACTGCTCCTCATTTATCTGGACTTTTCTCTGAAGTGTCATGCGCAGGCACAAGCACGGCTGGGCAAGCAACTGGATGCTCTCCAGGATCAGAGCCTAGTCCGGTACTGGCTGTGAGATATTGAGGGACTCATTCCGAATGCGCATCGCGCAGGACTCCGAGGTTGCACTGGAGCATGCCGTTCCCTGAGATCAGAAAGCCAGGCCTGTCTCAAAAGCAAGGTGTAGGAAGGTGGAATCCGTTCGTGATGTTCATTGAGCAGCTCATGGCAAGGGCCTCTGCTATCAGATTCAGATGTTGTGAAACTTGTGTCTTGAAGCTTTGGAACCTGAACCGCCATCTACGATGTCAGCGTATCTGCCCAGCAGAGACTTTCTCCCCACGTTCCTGTGGCATTCGCGCCAACGACTGATTCCTGCTGTAAAGATTCCGGTCTAGAAGACTCGTGCACGTGGCAGTTTCAGAGGTTGGGAACACGCAAGAAGTATGTCCGAGGATCCAATGAACGGCCGTGCCTACTGGCGTGCCGCAACTGCAGCATTGGGCCTTGACCGGCCCGACACCGCTGCAGCGTTGTGCATGCGCGGCATTAAGGCGGGTCTTGGAGGACAAAAAACCCTCTGAATTCTAATTCTGAATTCTATTTCTAGTAGTGTAAGACTGGGCAACATTGCATATGGGTTAAGGAAGGCTCTGCCGGTGAAGACACACGCAGAGCACGAGTCGCAGAGTTTGTGTTGCAATCGCTGCCTGGCTAGACCATGCTCATCAGGGTTTCAGGATGTTTCAGGCATAGGAAGAAAAAGAAAAGGACGAAGCAGAGACAACAGAGTTGAGACACGCTCATCACCATGTCCTCACATGATAAAAATGGTACTTTGCCAAAATAAGGGGACCCTAATACAGACCCTAGTATACTATAGTCCTTATTATGGGGATCCCAAAAAAGATACCCCTAATTTTGGGAAACCCCCAAGTACCCCTGGAGTTGGAGAGGTCTTGGGCGACTCGGATACCTTATCTTCACTCCTGGAGGCTCTGGAACAATGGGTTTATATTGGGATAATGGAAAAGAAAATGGAAACTATAGGGATTATAGGGTTTATATAGGGGTTATATTGGGGATATATTGGGGTAATATTGGGAGAATGGAAAATAAAATGGAAACTACTATAATGGGATATATTAGGGTTATATTGGGGTTATATAGGGATAATGGTCCTTAATGCCGAGCTCAGGCAAGGCTGCTCGAGTAGGGAAGACTTTTCTGTATGACGAGAAGATGGGTGTACCTGAGCACCTGAGCGGTGCATTTCACGCAACCCACGCGCCCCGCCCTGACCAGGAGGCCAAGCAGAAGCTTGAAGAGGCGAATCTCAGCGCAAAGCTTGAGATTGCTTTGCTTTGGGGCTTTCCAAGAACTAGGGCGCTTTTGGGGTGATGTGCATCAGGTGGACTCCAATTTCTGGAGCTACCTTTCACATCTGACTTATCCAGCTTCGATGAGCTGTGTTTGGGCACGAGCGTGCCCAGCCGAATGTTATGTCGCGCCACCAAGGAAGCGTAACGAGGAGGGCATTCAGACCGCGCCCGCCTGCTCTGAAGAGGAGACGCTGCTCCTGAACAGGCGTCAGGATTTTCATGGAGGTTGGCTCTGTCAGCAGCGTGGTACTTCTCTAGAGTCGATTCCAAAGATATAGATCCTTCCTGCTTGTCGTGGTTCTCAAAGCAAGGGGTCCATTTGTTGCAGCTTTCTAAACCCTTTCGGCCTCAGAGGTTCAACGATCCTTTGAGAAGGCCCGTCCTCCGTGTTGCGCGGGCAAAAAGGTTCTGTATGCAGGAAGTTTGAAGGGCTTGGATTCAGGTTGAGGTCAACATTCAACCTGAGAAGGGGGCCCATAAGGACTAATGTCCTTCTAAAATGAGAAAGCAGCTGAAGAGATCCCTGCTCCCAATGCAGGAGTTCCGGAAGGTGAGAAGGTGATTCAATGACCCCTGCGGCAACAGAACTGAAGCACACTCAATTCTCACCAACGCACCATATGTCAGGAGCCTAGCATTGCAAGCGAGCTCAGCGAGCGTGCGGTCTGCGACTCGGACCCTCCGTCTTCAGCTTCCCCAGTCAGTTTCTTGGGATGTCTTGGTCGTCTTCGCAGATTGGATTTGCTGGATTCTGTGGCTAGGCTAGCACTAATTCTGAACATTCACCAGCGGAATGGAATGGCGGGTCAGCGCAGCGTTGAACAAATGGGATTTCGGCATGTTTGGGCTTCAGATGACGGCTTGGAGAAATTCCAGCGTGCTTTTAGCCAGGCTGCTTTGCTGCGGAGCCATCGCAACCAGGATGAGGCCATCATGCTGAACACGCTCAGGACATTATGAGTGAAGCATGCAAAAGGGTAGTCTGGCCGCAGAGATTTCCAATACTCTACTCAGGAATTGTTGAAGATGAGTGCTATCTCTCCACCTTTGATCTGTGAATGGCAACTAAAGACTCACAGCCATTTTGAATCAGCAACCGTAGAAGAAAAGGATTTTGTACCAAGAGGAGGAGTTAGAGATGCAGGAAGGTAGATATTGTGAGTGAGAGAGTTCTCTGAGAGATCAAGGTGAACTGATGAACCCACATTGTGCATTTATCCTAGGGCCGCGGAAACGCAAGAGAATAACTGGCGAACCGTATGGCAGATGTGGGAAATTGAGTTGCTGTAGTGGCCAGTACTGAAAGAAGCATATGTCGTGTCTCTTGTCCAGTTTTTCAAACGGCGCTTGCGCAGTTTGGATGACCCTCACTGCGCAAAACAATTCTGCTGCAGCGCTCCTCTTGAAATGACAGCTTTTGAACACGTTCAAGCATTTCCGAAATGCATTCTCACTGGGTTTTTCTCGTGGTGGTTCCATACATGATACATAGGTTAAATTCGGCCAGGCGGAACGCAAGTTCGACGACGTGAGGCAAGCCTGTCCTTTGTGGTGCCTTTTCATGGAACTCTGGATCCCCTATGTATAGTCCAAAATTCTTTCCGGATTTCGTCTCCAGGACTTTGTGAGATACGCATAAGAGAATTCACTGACAGCAAGCACGCAAGACCGAGAAGTTTTATCAGCGATGCCGTCCAGGACAATCTGTGAGCATGGCAGCTAACAGCTCCACTGAGTCCTGTCAGGCGTGCCGTGAAGCTTTTCCAGGCAAGCTTACAAGAGGTGGGAGAAGGGACAGAGCACTCAAGTGCTGGTGATGGTGGCAATGATACTGGCGACTTGCAGCGCCATACCTTGCAGTCTCAACCTTGTCACTGTCTCTTCGGCAAGTCCTCCTGGAACTCCTAGGAGGGCTTGCAGTGGTTCCTAGCTAAATGAGATGCAGCCCTCACAGGACCCGAAGAATGAGGATGCTCTCATTGGCAGCAGCCTTAGGAGCAACAGGTTTCATGCCAACAGAAGCAGCCCTCAAGAGGCGAAATTGGAGGAATTTGTCGACTTTTTTAGATGATCTAGATGCATGCTAAAGAGATTCGAGAGTTTTGCAGGAGCTCAGCTGGATAGGGCTGTGGTTGTTGGACTAGGCACAACCCTTTTTTCATGGTCTTCTTGAGACACCCAGGTCTTGGCGAGATCCTGGATGAAGGCTGGGAGCCCTTGGGCAACAATTTTTTTTAGGGTTATAATTGGGATAATGGAAAAGCAAATGGAAACTGGGATTATAGGGTTTATATAGGGGTTATAGGGGATATATTGAAGTAATATTGGGATAATTGAAAAGAAAATGGAAACTACTATAGTATAATGGGGCGGGTATATATTGGGGTTATAATTGGGATAATGGAAAAGAAAATGAAAACTATAGGGATTATAGGGTTTATATAGGGGTTATAGGGGATATATTGAAGTAATATTGGGATAATGGAAAAGAAAATGGAAACTACTATAGTATAATGGGGTATATATTA